GCTGCACTGATACAACCAAACCTCGCACGTTTTTGAGCAAGTAAACCAAGAAAATCCTGTTCTAGAGCAGAGAACGAGAAAATGAGTCTTGAAATGATTCTTGTTTGCAGCATGATGACCACGTTTTCTACTTAAAGCCCCTGAAAACACTGTTTTAGATTGCGTTTGTTACAAACAATCAACATAACATTGTACAGTGCAAACAAACTTTTGCACAAATGAGAGAGAAAAGGGTTGGAGGTGTTAAAATCCTAAAAAGGACACATGTTTGCATATGCTATAAATCTGATGAAAATAAAATGTGACAGATTTTTCCCTGTTCGACCTTCACTATGCTGTCTGCAGCTGCCCATCACGCTAATATGCTGTGCACTAATGTCCATCCATCCATCATCTATACACCGCTTAATCCACACTAGGCTTGTGAGAGGCTGGAGCCTATCCTAGCCGACTCAGGGTGAAGGCAGGGGACACCCTGGACAGGTCACCAGTCTATCACAGGGCTACACTTAGAGACAGACAAGCAAGCACACTCACATTCACACCTACGGACAATTTACAATCACCAATTAACCTCAACATGTTTTTGGACTGTGGGAGGAGAACCCGGAGAGAACCCACGCTGCACGGGGAGAACATGCAAACTCCACACAGAAAGAACGCGAACCAGCGACCTTCTAGCGGCGAGGCAACGGTGCTAACCACCGAGCCACCTTGCAGCCCGTGCACTCATGTAGTCAACACAAATCACATTTTAGAAACAAATAAAAAACAAAAAAGGAGATGACAGATGGAGTCCTCAGTAATACATTCATTTAATGTACTTAGTCGGTTTCAAAGTCCATCTAAATTAATTTTTAAAACTTTCACTTAACTGAAGCCTTAAAGATTGCCAGATTTCGTTAAAAAAAAAATCTTTCTACATTAATCACATTTAAATGTGTATCTCTCTGATTCTAGTTGAGTCAGACCTTCTTTGTGCCAGCAGGCTGACAGCTCAGCTGAACTGCAGGCTGTGTTGGAAAACAGTTTGAGACTGAGAGCAAAACAGAACTTATTCCATCAATAAAATAAATGCAGTATGTCTCAAAAACTATATACATGTTGAAATATCTTTGTAGAGTTGATCTGCAGAGTAACATTTTAAAAAGTCTAGTTTGTAGAGGTTGTAAAACTGTAGGCAGTAATAGCAAAAAACACTCCTCAGGGCTCAGAGGGTTAATGCATGCTGTATGATCGGTCATGTGCTGCATCATCACTGTTCAACACACAGTCCACTGCTGCTATCTAGTGGGAAGAAACAAAACTACTCCAGAGGCGATGTCCTCTGAAGCATCTGCCACAGGACACAAGCTGAGTTTGTTGGTTTGCAGCCAAGAAATTATAGGAGCACATGACTTTCTGCAGTAAGGAGGCTCACAGAGTCGCCAGGTTTCATCAGTAACATGTCAGATATGTAAGACTGATGACAGAAATTGAGTCAGTGTCAGGCACTTATTCAAATACAAATAGATTAATTGTTTTTTTGTCACTTTAGTACAACGTGTCAAACTCGATTATCTTTTTCAGAACTGGCTGGGCACTGAGGTGTTTGTCTATTTTGGACTTTTAAACGAGGATGGTCTCTACAGAGCTGTTGAAACTCGGCCCGTGTGGCCTCCGCTCTAAGACCGGACATAAGGAAGCCTGAGAAGCCTGTTGAGATCCAGCCGAGAGTCTTGCTGCAGTGCAGGGTGATGCTCAGAATACCGAGAGGCCTGAATCCTGAGCACACAGTGTTTTCGAGGGGAGCCGAGGTAAACGATGCAACCATTTGTCACCATCGCACACTAAAGTGGAAAGATGTTGGAGCTGTTGTGCAGAGACACACGTCCATTCCATTACGCAACCACCTCCATTTACACCCAACCACACGAAGCAGCAGTGTTCTATTATGCTCTGAAATAAGCAAAACAGCTATTCCCTGTCAGGCTGAGGAGGACATGAATGGCAGGAAAACAGCCGTTTCCTTGTTTAAACAGTCATTCTTACGTTAAATTTGAGCAAAAACAAAGCAGCCATTTTTCTTTAGCATAAAGAAGCTGTGCTGCCTTTTGTCTTTAAAATGCCCCAAAGCTGTGATTCCATTCAGCATACTTGCCCAGATCGTAGTTTTCACTTTGTTCTTCTTTAGAGACTCTTGTGTGATTTTGGCATTGTGCTTTAAGCCTTTATCCTTCTGCAGCATTTCTCTTTTGTCAAGCTCTTGCAGAC